AGCTAGAAAAAGGGAGGGGGGGAATCAAGAGAATCTGGGTGAAATTTCTAAACTCAGGTTAATCTCTCAAAACCTCAAATCATTAAATTCTAAATTCAAACTCAATTAAAAAGATAAAATAAATTTAATGATAGAGAGTGAGATAAACTAATTTAATTAATTTTTAAAAAAAAATTAACAAAGAGCACCAAAAACCTGAGGCAATACTAAACTAATTTAATGTTAAAAGGTGAGATAAATTAATTTAATTACAATTTTTTTTTTTAAAAAAAGAGCAAGTTTCAACATTAAGCACTACAAAAATCGAGGCAATGTTAAATCAATTTAATATTAAAAAATAAAATAAATTTATTTAATCAAATTAGAAACAATTCATTCTAAAAGAGGTAGATCTAGCGAAGACAAAAAAAAAATATTGAGGGTAACCTGTTTTACCCTTAAAAAGTCAAAAAAATCCCATCAAAAGTGAAAAAAAAATCAAATGATAAAACAAAAAAAAAAAAAACAAGTCAACCCAGCTTAACTTTAGTAATCTATGACTCAAGATATGAGATATGGATAATTTTAAAAAAAAAAACATAAGGAATCACAAAGTTCAAGGCTCAATAAATTAATGTCAAATTATGAAAATTAAAAAAAAAATTTAAAAGTAATTTTAAAAAATACTAAATTTAAACTGGGTTAATCATTAAAACTAGTGGATCGGGTCATAATTGTAAAACACAACTATAAAAAAATAATGAAACAAAATTCTTAATCATAAAAAATAAAAAAAGGTAAAAAATATAAACAATAAGAACTAAATCCTGCACAAAAAATAATTGAAAGAAAATAATTAAATTGAAAAACAAAATAAACAAAGAAAATAATTAAAAAAAGAGCAGTAAAAAAGATGAGGACCAAAATTTTTTAAAAAAATTAAATTAAATTCTAAATGACAAAATACAATATTAATACAAATAATTGAAAATAATAATTTAATGATAAAAGATAAAATTAATGAATAAAAAAGTTCAAAATAAATGCCACCAAACCAATTCAAGAATAAAATTGAAAGCTAAAATTTTAAATATTGAATTGAAGAGTAAAATTGAAATTTTTTAAATCAGTAAATTTATAAATAAAAATCAGTCAACAATAACAATAAAAATTAAATGAGTAAGGATTAGATTCTTAAAAAAAAATTAAAATCAAAATATATTATTTGATGCTTTAAATGTTTGACCTAATTGATTTAGAAAACTTGGGTTGGTCTGAGTTTTAAAAGTAATTGAAACAAAACATGAAAAAAGCTTGATGTTTATATTTAATTAAAAAGAAAAAATTTCTTATAAAAAAACTAAATTCAACAAAGCTTGAAAAAACAAAAACTTTAGGTAGCACTTTTATTTTTCAGAAAAAATGAAAAATCTCTTTTTGGGGGGGGAATCAAGCGAATCTAAGTTTTAATCTCTCAAAATATCAGATCGTTAAATTCAAAACTCAAATTGAATTAAAAAGATAAAACAAATTTAATGATAGAGAGTGAGATAAACTAATTTAATTTATTTTTTTAAAACAAATTTAACAAAGAGCACCAAAAACCCAAGGCAATACTAGACTAATTTAATACTAAAGGGTGAGATAAATTAATTTAATTATATATTTTTTTTTAAAAGAGCAAGATTCAACATTGAGCACTACAAAAACCGAGGCAATGTTAAATCAATTTAATATTAAAAAATAAAATAAATTTATTCTAAATGACAAAATACAATATTAATACAAAGATAAAAAATAGCAATCAATAGAATAAGAATTAAATTAAAAAAAAATAAATGAAATAAATGTAAGGAGATGCAATTAAAAAAATAATTCAAAAGGCACTAAAATTAAATTAAAGTAAATAAAAAACCAACTTTAAAACAAATATATACCAGGGGAATTTTTTAAGGCTTGAAAGCACAGGAGAGAGAAAAGAAAAGGAAAAAAAAAACTTTCATCGTTTATGAACCATCGTTTACTAGACTAAACACACCATTTTAATAGTTATGTTGCCACTTAATACGTTAAATGAAATAACAGTTAGTCGGTTTTGATTACTGAAACACCCCACAAATCTTTAATTTGGCATAAAGGATGATGATGCATTGATGCGTGTATATCATACACCAACCTTTTATATTAATTTATTAATATTTTATTAATTTAAATTATTAAAAAGTCCCCGAGAGCATCTTAATATTATAAAAACAACCATGAAAATGCCCTCCCATGTAAGTCATTTAATTGCACAAAACATACGTAAAGATAAAAGCACCTCGCCGCAAGGTCAATACTTTTGAGCATTTAAATGTATCATCATCCTTTTAACGTGTAATAAAATTAAATATGCATAAAAAAACTGGATAAAAAGCTTATGTTTTAGTTGTTAATGGTAATAAAGTAATTTTTCTGTATATAAAATTATTAAATGACCAAATTATTCCTCATCAATTTACAAATAACATTTCAATACCCTAGAAGAAGTAAACAACTCTACCCCTGCTGGTAAATTAGTTGTACGGTACAGTGCGGTACAAAAGGATTAATACAGTATCTGAGTTCACAGTCTTACATGTAATCACTGAGCCTTTTAGTTTTTTTGTTTTTTTATTAATGATCTTAAATCGAAGCTTTTAATGGCTGCCACGTGTGCGAAGCCCAACCCATGCATTGGTGGCAAGCATTGGGTTGTCTCCGGTCGGGGCATGACGAGGAGGCTTCAGTGCATGATAGGAATGGGCGAAGAAGTGACAAATTGCATGGGATTGGCGGTGGAGAACGCAGGAGTGGTGGCTGTTAGCCCCATAACTATTTTTACAGGAGGCAGAGGAACGCGGCAGAAAAAACAGCCGTTTGCATGGACTTAGGGGCAGAGAGAGCTGACACAACCACCTACTGTGCTTCAGACCATGTGGGGACTGGTTTTAGCTTTCAAGACACCCAATCCTTCCACATTGGCCAATGAAGATCACAAAACTGATCGTCTTGTAGGAGTACGAAGTATCCAGTCATAACTGAAGCCCATTCATTTATGCCAAGCCTCTGTTTGGCCATTGTTTTATATCTATTATTTTAAAAAATTATTTATTTTTTATAAATTATTTTAATATGATATATCAAAAATAAATTTTTAAAAATAAAAAATTATCTAAATATATTTTTAAATAAAAAATATTTTAAAATACTACTTCTACTGCACTCTCAAATATATTTCAAAATTTTGTGATTGAAAATTTTTAATTTTTTTTAAAGTTAGATTTTTAGTTTTGTTTTAATAGTTTTAATATGTTAATATAAAAAATAACTTTTTTATATATTTCAAAAGTAAAAATCATTTTAAAAATTAATCCTTATTATAATCTCGATCATGTCTTTAATCCATATTATTCAGCTTTAAAAATTTTATGTTATTCAAGTTATAATTATATAACTAATTTAATAAAAAATAGAAATAAGATGTGAAATTCTTTCTATATTTTTTCCATCCAGTAAATATTGATAATTATAAGCCTAACATTATAAAATATTTTGATCCATCCCTCATGAATTTCGAATTTCAACACTCTTTATCAAGCAAAAGCTACAGGCTGCTTGGAACTATGCACGTTCCAATCAGCATTTTATTAAACTATTTAAAATTATTTTTTTATTTTTTTAATTTATTTTAATATATTGATATAAAAATAAATTTTAAAAAAATAAAAAAAATATTATTTTAACATATCTCATTTTTATTCTGTACCATTCAACCCTCGACCCTCCTCCAATAAGGAGCATTAAATAAAGAGAGATGCTATTTTTATCAAAAATATGAAGTGAGCAAGAGGTGAACAGAGAGGGGGAAATCAGATATGAAACTGATGTTTGTCAGAAGCAGAGGTTCCACTTCCCAATCCAAGCTTTGCTTTCCACCGATAACTGTCTTCACTCTTCACCTTAGCAACGCAGAAGCTTCTCCACCTCTCTCTCTCTGTTATCTCTTCCTTTCCCAAGCTCATACAGGCTGGCCATTGTGTCAAGATCCCTATTTAATAATGTTACAGAGAGACTCTTCACATTTTCCAACTCTTCTGAACTCTCTTTTCTACTGTTATCATATCAGAGTATCACACACCAAGTCAGCACATTTGGGTACTCAAGTCATCCTGTTTCTTTACTTCTGCCATTCTTTTCGAGCATTTTATCTCCTAGCAGACATGGAACCTGGAGAAAAGTTTTCTCCGATCCATGCAGAAGAAGACACCACGGCAAGGGTATTTCCTTGTTTATTCTGTTCACGAAAGTTCTACAGTTCTCAAGCCTTAGGAGGCCACCAAAATGCTCACAAGAAGGAGAGAAATGCAGCAAGGAAGACAAGAAGAGTATCTGAATATGCACCATCCCCATCAC